GGCGCACAGGCTCGCGGCGCACGCACAGGCTCGCCGATCGCGTTGTTGGAGACAAAAGCCTTGTCTTCTGCCCATGCATCATTTATTTGGACAGCAGCAACATGCCTGCTAGCATGGCTATGAGACCCCTGAAGTAAAAGCAATTAAAGACTGATTGCCTGGAATCAATACTGAATTAAAATCATGGAACCCGATAAGGAAAAAAAAAATACCTTTGTATGGCATGAAATAGAAACTGAGGTCTCTCCCTACCTGAGCTGCAGCGCCAAAGCTGGAGGCATGATCTTTGCTCCTATCCTGCCGACGAGGGTAGGGAACACACCCACCAGCTCCACCACGGTGATATGGCGAAGATCCAGGCCGCACTGCGCTTGCTGGAAAAGCCGAAGAGGGGACGTTTGAGTGTGACTGAGGAAGAGACTTCCCTATGAAGCTACACGTGGACATAAACATCATTGGTCTGTCTGGGGAAGTTTATCTGCCCACTCTGGACTGTTGTGAAAACAGTCAAGAAATTGGGTGTAAAGCAGTGGCCATAAAGTCAGAATACCTTCCTGAGAAATCGTTCAGAACTAGCTTGGCAATGGGCTTTTGAAAACCTAAGCAAAATGGCAGTTTATGTACTTCCAAATGGGGTGAGACCTTGCATGAGTCAAGTTTCCTAAAAATTGTCCAGTACCACCTTCAGGGGATTCTAAATTTGTCTCTGTAAGGAGTAAATATTTCCAGAGTCCCCTCATCTGCCCCCACACCCCCTGACCCTCTCCATAGCCAAACTAAGGCAAAGGGAGGAAGGGTTAAATGTCCCAGCCCTTTGAGCTGGCCCCTGGCAGGGGTCTTGAGGATGTGGCCCACTCAACCATATGCCAGGTGGTCCCATCAGCACAATGGCACAAGAAACCGAAGCATAGCATCAGATGAATCTGGCTAAATGGGAAAAGAACTGTTAAATTCCCGAATTGTTAGAACACTAAACATCTTACTACAGTTCCACTGGGACACCTTCTATGGGTAACAGAATTGATAAAAAAAATAAATAGGTGTATTCCTACTTTTCCTATGTGAAACACCTAAGTCAGCAAACCTTTCCTGAAGGATCTGGTTAAAATGACAACATAAATAGGCTGCTGTGTGGGAGAACACATATTTTACCCAAGTAGTTGGTTGGTAAATCAGCAAGTACTTGAGTGGGATAAACGAGAGCAGGGGCAGCCAAGGCTTCTGGCAAGGACCACAGAGTATTTTAGGACTCGGAGGGGTAACTGACTATTTGATTATGCCATTCTAGTGCAAGGGTAGCCATGCACCATGTACAATTGAGCGTGTATTAAAAACATACTACATAGAAATCTTGGCACTGGCCAGGTTTACTTCAGTTTGCCAACTGAAGTTAAGTTGTGTCCTTATTCACTTTTCAGTGGACAACAAGGTCAGGAAATGTGTGACTATGGAATGGAGCCTGAAAGATCGAGTTCCCACAAAATGCTATGGCCTGGGCTTGTGTGACCTGAAGAGCAAGCTGGGACAGGAGAATGAAGGGTGGAGGGAAGGTGCAGGGTGAGGGGGTGGGTGAAGATGCAATGACCCAGGTTTCTAGCAAGGAAGTCTAAACTTATGACTAAGTGTCTGGGAACTCCTTGGAAAAAATGAAGACTTATTGTTATTCATTGTATTAATGCTCAAATGAGAAAACTGTAGTCTTTGATTAAACCATGACTGTTCTAAACACTTCTATTCGCTGTAACCAATGAAATACTCTCCTCGCAGAAAACATGGAGCACAGTGTCCATGACCCAGCATATGTACTGACTCTAGCAAAATTGTCATGCTGGCCATTCTTATTGCCAACCGCTTCAGGACAAAAGTTCTAGTTTGATACTTTTTTTTTTTAATAAGGCACCAGTTGGCTCATTTTGTAGTTATAATATTTGCATAGCTGAGAAGTGCTCCTCAAACTTGAAGGCCTTAGGAAGCACCTGAAGGGTCTTAATAAAATGTAGATTCTGATCCACTAGGTCTGGGATGGGGCTTGAGAATTTGCATTTCTAACAAGCTCCCAGGTGCTGTTGATGTTCCATGAATCACACTTTGAGAACCATAGTCCTGAAAGGTGGTTGTCATTCTCTGAGGAGCTCACTTTGATGAATTGGGGAATCTATGTAGGGCCTGAAGACTCCTGGACTCCCCGACCCCTTGAGTCAGCCTTTGGTCAGACACCCTATTGATTGTCTCCAGTCTAGGTGCATTCTAGACAGGTTCAACAAAAACAATTGTTCTTTGACTGGGCCTGGACAGCATGTCAATTAGGCTTATTAGTGGAGACAGACAAGCCTCATTAGCTGAGAAACGATTGGGTTAGCTCTGGCAGTCGATGTTAATCAAGTTATACCCAGAACCCAGAAATGAACAGTGACAGCTCTGGAGTGCCGGTTCCTAAAGTTCACAGTAAGTGGGTCAGGCCTCACTCTGTCCTTTGCTTGAAGGAAATGACTGGGCCCTTCCTGCTAGAGGTCTGCCGCACCCCCCAAACTCCTTCCCCCCACCCTGTTGCAAAGACTCACCTGTAGCATCCCCAGCTGTAGTCGGTAGAGAAGGTTCCGGGCTGTGGGTGTGGACACAATAAGGAGCCTCCTTTTCTCATAAAACTGATCCAGAAGGGCTGCTGCGGTTCTGACGCCCACGTTGACATTCATGGCTATAATTACAAATGACCAGATGACACCCAGAGCTATAAGTAGACCCTGTGGTAAGGATGCAAGTGTAAGTCTAGTTGACCCCTGAAGAACACAGGGGATAAAGGCACCCACCTCACCCCAGCCTACACAGATGAAAATCCCAGGAGCTATAGTTAGCCCTACATATCTCAAGGGGCCCATAACCTCAGCGGGTCAATTCCTTAACCTGTGCAGTTCAAAGCCATGTCATTCAAGGATCAACTGTTGCATTTTCAGGAAGTAGCCCCAAGAAACGTTGGTAAAAATGCAGGGAAGTGTGGTAACTTCTTGTTAGTACTGTCAAATCCCCACAAACGTAGTGGGTTTTCCTCTTGCCTCACTCCTCTCTCCCGATGTCTGCAGGTCTCCCTCTGCTAAAGCCACTGCGAGGGCAGGCTGAGCTCCCCCCAGCTGCTCTGGGGGGAGGGAATCTGCTCCCTTACCTTTGTCCAGCAGAGGTCACCTGCATGGCTTGGCTGGTGGCCTTTCTGCTGTCTTCAAAGCCAGCAGAAAAGCAATTTCGAATCCACCTGGCCTCTGCTTCCACCATCTTTTCCCTGCCCGTTCTGCCCGCCCCCCTTATAGGGATGCTTGTGATTACATGGGGCCCACCTGGGTCAGCAAGGCTCATGTCCCATCTGAAGACCCTTAACTTAATCTATAAAGTCCCTAGGTGAGGGAATAAATCACAGGTTGTAACAATTAAGATGTTGCCATCTTTGAGGGACGGGTATTATTCTCCCTCTTTTAATAAGGCACATGGGGAAGGCAAGGGTATGCTCGTCTCAGTCAAATGGATGCAGTTGAAGATCTCAGGCATCTAGCTGCTGTACATGTCCCTCACCTGCTCTGATTGACTAGGATTAAAGGGAAGGAGCAAAGATGAGAAAGTCCAAGAAATAAAAAAAAAAAAAAAAAAGGCGGGGGTGGGGGGGGTGTAAAGAGATATGAGCAGAATCTTCTTGGCTCATCCAACTTTCTCACCATGATTTCTCCCCAGACCCACTCCTGTTCCTCATTAACCACAGCTGATGGGCACTGAGGGCTATCCAGTGCCAGACACTGCTTGGTGGGTGACCTCAGGGACTCCTTACAACCCAAGCAGCAGCTAGGGGGTTATCTTCCTCACTTGACACGAAGGGAAAGATTCCAAAGCCCCACGGTCTTCAGGACATTCAAGCCAGTGCTGGTTATAGAAAGAAAACTTGTCTGTCTGCGGTCGTTGATTGGCTTTGTAAACAACCCAAAAAAATCTGCACATTCCTGAAAGGAAGGAACCAGGGTAACTAGAGCCGACTCAGCTGATCCATGCAGATGCTAAAGGCTGGCTCTGGATTCCCACCTGCAGCTTCTTGTTTAAAAGGAAGTGGAAGAGAAATCCGAAGGTAGGCAGAGGCAAGGGGTAAGGGGGTTTGAGCTGCAACAGGGGTCCAGAGGCTATTTTTACCCTGAGAGTGAAGAGTGAGGGCCGGAACCTTGCCAAGCACTTTGAATGGAGCCCTCCCACCCTGTGCTGGCCCCAGACCCCTGCAGGATCTAGCCCGCTCACGCACCTGTGCAGCTGGGCTCTGTGCCAGACCACCCCAGATTGGACTGACATACTCGGGCAGAGCTGCCCTGGAGTTCGTAGCCACCGATGCAGGAGAACTCACAGGTGGCTCCGTAATTGTCGCCATCACTGGAGCATTTCATGTAACCATTCTCTGGGGCGTTGAGTTTGCCGCAGCGTCTGACTGTGGGGACACAAGACCAGAGGCGTCTCAACACTGAGCTCCCTCTGCAGAGTATCCAGGGAAGGTGAGGGCTTCCAGGCACCAATCTGCAATCAGATTCCCACACTGGCCGATGTGATGAGTGGGAGGGCAGGATGGCCATCTGGCCAGTGGGTGGGCCCCGTGGTGGTCACTGTTCACACCACTCAGACTGCTGAGATCACCTGGTGGTGCTCCCCGTGTTTTAGAGGAGGTGGAGCCCAGAAAAGTAAAGTGTCAGTCATGCCCATACCACAGACCATAAAAACATTTTCTCCTGAAATAATAATAATAATGAACAGCTATAGACCAGAGATATTTTTTGGGGGGTGGAGTGGGAAATGGGATCAAAAACAGTGCACTGGACTATGGTGATGGCACATGGGTGACTTGGTGATGGGTAGCTCACGGGGATTACAACTGGGATGGAAAAATGCACAAAATGATGTAAAAATAAACTATTGTATGATTTAATTTTTTTTTCTTCTGGTAGACTAGAGGTTCTGGAACACCAAGAACATGCTCTCGGCACTCCTCAAAGAACCCTTGAGGGGTCCTCACAACCCTGGTTATAGAAAACTTGCAGACTCTGGCTGATCGCCCGAGCCCTGGGATGGAAAGCTATTGAGTCATATACTTCGGGGACAGCCAGCCAGGCCAGCTCACTGCTGTCAAACTCAAGTACTTGGCCAGCACCGGTCTTCATCCAGATTTGAACTGTGAAATCTACCCAGTAACAGGGCAATATCCTGTAGCCTGGTCACCAGAGGCTAAGCCAAAACTGGCAGGGCTCCCTCTGGCAGTGGGCACTCACAGAGGGATGCTGCCGGGGACCTGCTTTCCCTCTGCCTTTATGAAGGAAGAAAGTCAAGAAACACGCTTCTTACCTCTTACTTTAACTCGAAACTTGCAAGTGCCCTTGTTCTGGGCTCTGTCATAGACTGTGTACTGGATCTTGTGGTCCCCTTCTGGGAAATTCGAGCCTGGGGGGAGGCCTTTTAGAATAACACTTCGAGGGGGAAAAAAACAAACAGCGCAGATGATTATCATGGGCATTTACTGAGTACCGACTCTACCCAGTATGCACGGCTACCAAGGGGCACGCATTCAGCCAGTTGAGTAGAGCAAAGAATTCACTGATGGAGATTCCTGAGCTGTACTCTTGTTTTGCAAGAGCAGTCTGAGATCAGAAAACGAAGTCCTCAATTCCTGGGAAGTTCAGATTTCTTTTTCTTGGGAGGGTGAAATAGAGAATGGGGGAAGCTGAGAACCCAGAGCCCAAGTCATCCTCCAAGCATACCTTTGTTCTAGAAGGGACCTGAATGCCTCACTTTGAGAGGATAATGTGATTTTCTGTGGGAGAAATCATAGTCCAAGCAATCATTGACAATTTGGGGCTTGCAGCGTGTGCCAGAGTCAAATGCTGTGGTTTGTTTGTTTTTCAATAATAATAATAATAATAATAATAATAATAATAATAATAATAATAAAACTCGATCTCTGATTCTGTCAACTGTGACTTATTGCTCATTTCCAATTGCCTAATATTCTCCTTGTAGGTGTTTGTAGCAGGTCTAAGTGACAGCAAATAAATAATTTTCTTAAGACTCAAACTTTATCTTTGAGGAGTTGCAAGGAGGAACACAACTAGTTAATATTAGCTAAGCTAGACGGCACATTGGGGGGAAGTTACCAGGTGGTAGGAATAAAATTTTCTTCTGGGGTAAGAGACTCAGCCTATTCCTCATAGATCATGTTCTGTTATTACTAATAATTGCTTCAATTTTTTTCTCCTTCACAGCCTGCATTGATGGGATTCTAGAATGTCTTTCCCTGATGTATGGCTCACCAGGGAGCAAGTCAGAGGTATCCGTGGCCCACCAGAGGAAAACCTGGAGGGAAGTCTATCAAGGCAATGAACTTGGGACAGAGATATGAATGTACTGACTTGAAGTAGTGTCCTTGGGGGATGTAGAGGCCAATCTCGTAGCTGCAGGGGTACAGCCTCCCATGCTAAATTAGAACAACATGCAGCTGAATGTCACCAAAGGGAACCAGTCGTTTTTAAAAGCGTGCTGAACGTACATCAAACTATAAATGCACTTGGTCCTGGAGAATGGAGTTGGCAAGAGCTTTTTCATAAGCTTCTTCTGTCAGTATTTAATGTGGTCACAGATTTGAAAAAAAAATAAGTTTAAAAGAAAGTCTTGAAAGAAGCAGATGTGAAAAGAAAAGAGTGGGAAGTTCTGTGGTAAATCATACTCACAAGAGGCAGCATGTAGCTTCCAAGGGAGGTGATAACCCAGGAGGATCTGGGGGCGTGAGTCAGCACCCCTGGGGGGGTGGTGGGAGGAGGAAGTCCCGGTGATTCTGGTCTGAATTCATTATGTGGCTTCCTGTTCCTCCTCCTCTCCCCTCCCTTCCCTTCATCCCACCACTCCTTTCTCACTTCCCTTCTTTCCCTCAACAAACATGTACTAAGTACCAACTCTGTGAGGCACCGTTCTGAGCGCTAGGGATATGACAGTGGAGTTAGGCGATAAATATCTGTAAGCACTGTGCAGAGGACAGCAGCTAGAGAGGACCAGAGAAAAATAAAGCACCAGTGAGGAATCCCTGGAGCAGGCCTGGCCGAGACTGAGAGAGTAACAAGGCCAGCACAGATGACACCTGCCCTTTGGAAGTAGGTGGCTCACATGCGAGGCCGCGTCCCTCCAGCCGCCTTGCTGCACTTACTCAGTGAGAATGCCGTCAGCTGTGTCTCGTCCCTCCGGAGTCTCCCAGGACACACGAACTGTCAGCTTATTGGGCTCAGCAATCCGTTCCTTCACACTTGGGCACTTGATTCTAGGAGGTTCCATATCTGAGAAGAAAACCACAGTATTCTCACCATCATCAAGAAATAGCTTGGGGTTCAACACCCAGCGTTTGAAATGCCCAAGAGTCTAGATGCTCCCCCTTGCAAAGGGTCTGTTCACCCTGTTGTGTTTCTCTTTCCTGTCTTTCTCTTGCCCTTTCTCTCCTGAGTTGGAAGATTGAGTACTCACGTGTGCATGGGCAAACCTATAATCAGCCGGCCTTGCTAGGTGTCCTGGGAGGATTAGCCCAAGTAACCCTCTCCCCAGCTCCCATGCTTACTGACTTTGAAATCTGGCAGCTACCCAGGTAGCAGTCATACAGCTGCAGTGAGTCCCTCCTGCTCTGAGGCTATCACAGAATATTACAGCATAGCTTAGCTAGTATCTAACTCAATTCAATGTAAAGCAACAGACCTTTGGGAGTGCTGGCCTAACCCAAGGCATCATTCTAACTGCTGGTGTTGGGTGCACAGAGGCAAAAGAATCACCTGCTTTTCAGAGTTTAGTCTATTAGGGGATTATGTCACATGAAGTCGGACACAAGGTGGGAAGTAGCACTGCTTCAGGTGAGTAATGGTGAAGCAGGTATGATGGAGGCTTAGAGATCCCACCTGGTTTTTCATTTGACAGATGTGGAAACAGACTGAGTTAGTGTGAACTTTAACCCACACTGGAGTATTTACCCCAGAACAAGTTCGCTCTCCTGCCTTTGTCTATTCCCAACATGTTCCTTGAGGTCTTCAAACAATGGTCTGCCTGGGTCCACTCTCCCCTCCAACTCCACTGGCCCACACCTACAGTTCTGTGTTTTGGGGACAGCAGTTTCTCTTGGGCTCTGACCCTGTGGATTTCCCAGATTTTTCCCAAGTAGTTCCTCTACTTGGTTACAGAATTTCTGCCCCCTCACTATCAAGCAGGGTTTGATGATGTGGGCTAGAAATAACTGAGATGACATTTCTCTACTGGGTGGTATTTCACCTTATGATAGCTCAAGTTAAATCACAAGAAGGGGGAGCTCTGAATTCTACTTGATGATTCAGAACAGGTAGGACATTATTTAAGCATAACAACTTAAAAACATTCCAATTTGCATTGCTTCACATACGAACTGATAATTATTTAAATGTTGCTACAACCTGAATGAAAAGTAAATATTTTATTCTGAATAATTTAATTATTTTGCACTCAACTATCCAAATTCATTTTTATTCTATGTTATACTTATATGGAGTGTGCCTTCATAGTCGCAACCTAAATTGAAAACTGCCATATATTTTATTGAGTCTAAGACACTATCAATTGTGAGATGGATCCCAATGTCAAGGATATTAAAATGTAAAAAGTTAAGTTTCATAGGATACTTTGCTAATTGGGTAAAACAAGTAAATGTTTGGATGAATTGGAAGCTGCTTTAAATGCACTCAAGGTATAGTTTCAGCGGCCAGGATTTAAAAAAATATATAATCCATTTGTTTTACTATGATAGGTGAGAGAACACATTTTTATAATTCAGCTGAACATTTCACAGTTTCAGGAGAATCAAAAAGATAAGTATCCAATGCTTGATCGCCGCTGGTCAAATATAGCTGACAATATATGCCCACTTCATATACAATGTTGTAAACCATTTTTACTTCAGTAAAAATAATAAAATACCTTAAAAATAAAAGAATATATCTGTTAAAATAAGTAAAATTAAGAAAAAGAGAGCTATCTCTCTCTACCTTAAAAAAGTTAAAGCAAAAGGAGGGGCATGAGGAAAGAAGACAGATCTCAATGTAAACAACACTGTGTTGCCATATTTCCTCGTCGTGACATTATCAGAGTGAAGATGTAACCAACATATCCCTGAATATGGGAGGTACCTGGTTCCCTGCCCTACCAGATGAAGGATGGACCTGAACAGGGAGGAAAAGCTAAAAAAAGACTTAGGGGAGAAGACTTGGAGCAGAGTGAGGAGACACATGGAGCAGGGAGATGTGTGAAGAAGCTGTGCTTGCTTCTCAGCTTTGGACTTATACCAGGGATGTGCGTGCGGGCCATGGAAGGAGACATGGGGAGTTGAGACATATAGAAACACTTGGAAGAGACGACGGTGAGAGCCCCATGGGGAGGCTGACCATGGCAGCTGTTACCTTGACTTGTATTCTGACTTTGCTCTTTTCCTTCCAGACTTGCTCGGCCTCGTCTGCCCCACTCCTATGCATCCCCAGAAGGTGCCAAAATAATAGTTGTTATATTCTGTGTATTTGCATATATCTCTCAATGGAAGCTGTGAACTGCCAGAGGGTGAAAGTATTTTTTCCCCTACATTGACTTATTTCTATCAATATCTGTTCCTGAAATAACCAAACCTTTGAGTCCACTGCCAGAGTGCGGTCTGCATAAGAGAATTAATTTTAACTTGTGCTACTTTCAAATTAGCCAGAGGATAGAACCAACCACCTCAGAGTCAAAAATAAGACCAGTGTTCTCTCTCCTCCAGGCCCAAAAGAGTACTGGGGCAATTTTTTCAGCACTCAGCACAGCTTTGGCCAGCATCTGCTGCTCAAGGTTGTGTGGAAATCTGGGAACTACTCAGCCACCATGTGTCAGCTCCTAAAATAGTCTGAAGTCCCACCAGCACACAAAGTTATTAAGCTAATTTAATACATTTAAAGCCAAACAAGTAAATGGCATTCTGGGAGTAAAATTCACCAGGACAAACTCCATAAACACCAAAATCAAGGAAAGAATTGTCTGCTTGCTTTGTCCATTTCTCTTTTTTGCCCTGGGAGTTCTATACTCTCTCGTGGCTCCTGAGACCTTTTTTTTTTTTTTTTTTTTTTTTTTGCTATACCCTGCTAAACTCAGATAAAACACTTCAAATTGGGGTTCATTTCCTAGTTCCTTCTCTCTCTCCTCTCTCGCTCTCTCTCTCTGGTAAGTTTCCAGGCCCATCTGGTCCAGCTTAAGTCATGCTTGTTGCTTTTTGAGAACAATCAGTATTTTCTTTCCGTAGTTGCACATCATCTGGGACATATAAACAATGTTGATCCGAGAGAACTCTTGCCAGTGCTTGCTCAACAGAAAGATGTTTGATCATCTCCTCTCCTTCTGTCACCTTCAGCCCTTCCAGTGTGAGAGAAGAGAGATTCAAAATGTGCTGGGGTTGTTTTTGAGAGCAGGTTTGCACAGACTTAGTCACAGGGGGAGTTAATGAGAGCACATCTGTGTCGGGATCTTCTCACCGGAACATCTGATCTTAGGTTGTATCTTCCAAGCATTCAGTGTCTCTGGGCCATTCTATCAGTATTGGTAAGCTGGTTTGTTTTTTTTTTAATTGAACTTCAATGATTCAGGATGAGAAGTCTAATAGCTTAGAGAAATGTTGCTGTGCCAAATATTTGGTCAATACTTGACTTTTTCTAGAAGTCTCCTCTTTATTGCTGGGATGGCGTGCCAGATAGGTTTGCTAGTGCGAGACTTTCTCATGAGAACAGACAGCAATAAAAAGGTGGAAGCCATTAAACTTCTGATAGGAGCTTCAATGAAGTTTACCTGGGCTCCTGGTATATCAACAGGAATGTGGGCTCTTGACTTCTCATCAGTGACGCTACCAGCCCTGCCAGCACCGAGGGTAAACTTACAAACCCTGGGTAACAGTCCCATCCCTCTTTTGCTCCTCCGGCCTTTGGTAGGACTTTCTGCTGTAACTAATCTCTGCTAGCAGCATTTGCCTCTGTAGCTCCTTCAATTCCTCCTCTATCTTTGGAATCCAATCCCTGCATTAAACTCCCCTGAGTTTGAAATAGCTTGGGTGGCTTCTGTTTTCCTGAATACTGACCAATACAAATGTCTATCGAAATCCAAGGGGGGGGGGGAAGAGCAGAATAAATCTGAATCACTTATTTGAGTAATTACTGCTGCTCTCAAAAGAATGCACAGTCTGGCCCAGGATGCCACTCTGAAGAGTTTTGATGAGGGGCTTTGATAATATTTTGGGTCAGGGGCCTTGGCTCCTCCTCATTAACCACATAAGCGCAGAGTGAAAATGGAAGACAATGGTCAGTGGTGCCATCCTAAAGACCCCTCTGGGGCCGAGGCCACAGGGATTGTCACACATCTGCACTTAGAGGGTGGCATCCAGTTTCAGTCTTACTCCTGAAGTAGCTGAGCAGTCAGGAAGGAGGACTTGGGCTCATGGACATTGGCCAGCTGAGCAGAAATTTTCCTGGAAGGCTGACAAATCCAAGCAGGGCAGCAATCTGGATGCTGTGGCCAGCTGCCTTAGCATCGCCGTGCCAGAGCTGTTCCTGGATGGGGAACATTGCCCCTACGTGTCTGGAGACTTTCCAGGTTTGGCTCTATACAACCTGGACTAAGTCAAGGGACCTCTTGAGCCTCCTCCGTAGAATGGGGCTGTGGACCTCAAACACAAAGCAGCCAGTTTCTGTTGTTGCTTTTTAAAAATTAACAAACAGGTGTATCTGGAAATAACAGCAAAAAAGGCAATTTGAAAAATGTAGTCTCATGTAAGACATACACACCCTTTTCTAGGACAAAATCCTGAACCAACTTATATAGATCTTAGGGGTACTGTTGTACCCAAAATGTTCACTGGAGGGAACTGGGAGCTTGCTGTGTGTTTTTTTCACTCGTTACTTTATGGCACTCTCTCATTGACTGAACTACTGCTGGGCAAAAAGAAACTTCATTTTTTCCTTTCACTGGGGAAAGACTAACTGATTCATATTTCTCCTGGCCTTTTGTTTGTCCAGGATTTAGGTAGGACTATGTCAGGAAAACAGAATCCATTCTAGGTATTTCAAACACAGGGGAAATTAAAACAGGAATTTAATAAAAATATAGGAAAAACAGTTGGGGAGGGAAATGCACTGGACTTTGATGATGGCACATAGTTGATTTGGTGATGGGAAGCCCAAGGGGATTATAACTGAGATGGAAAAATGCACAAAATGATGGAAAAATAAACTATTGAAAAGAGGAAAAAAATATATAGGAAGAGGCCCTCTCTGGTGGTGCAGTGGGTTAAAGCACAGCACTAAGGAGCTAAAGCCACTTCAGCATGAGTTCGAGCCCAGCCCTGGAAGTGACCCACATGGCACAGCAGACTTCTCCTGACCCACCCACTGCTCCCCTCAGCAGTGTACTTCGTCAATCTGCCTGTTCTGCTCCCCACTTTGTCTCTGGTGAATCCTCTCACTGCCCCTGCACCTGTGGCTTGTACCCCAGTTCTGTATGAACAAATAAATCTTTAAAAAATATAGGAAGAACTAGAGGAGCAAAGCAGAGGAAGCAACATCACTTTCTGGCAGAGACGCAAGTCATGTTAGGTCTTACAGTTTGCTGCATGTGTGTGTTTTAGGAACTCACCTAAATATGGTTCCTGTATAGCAATTTTCATAGGGGATTGACTTTGAATTTCTTTTTTTTAAGATTTATTTACTTATGCACACAGGAACTGGGGTGCAGGCCAGAAGTGTGTGTGGGGGGGTGAGGGGAATCACCAGAGACGGAGTGGGGAGCAGATCAGGCCGACTGATGAAGTACACTGCTGAGGAGAGCAGTGGGTGAGACAGGAGAGATCTTCTGTGTCTTGTGGACCACCTCCCTGGCTGGGGATCGAACTTGTGCTGCAGTGGGTGCCTATAATTTCATGATGCTTTACTTTAATCCCTGTGCCACCAGGAGGGCCCTGGACTAGATTGTTTTCTAACTGTGAGTCTTGACAGCAGTAACATTGTAAGAGCAAATGGTGTTGAGACAATGGTTTTCCACCAGTTGGGGAAGCTTCTGGAAAAATATCAGGGCCCCAGAGATTCATATTCAAATGGCAGCCAGAATTGAAAAGCACTGCCCTGCAGCATAGGAATGTCCTGGGGATTGTCCAAAATGCATTTTTCATCAGTGAGGTTTGAGATGGGTCCCAAGATTCTACATTTCTAACAACTGTCCTGCTGGTGAGAATGCTGGTCCAAAGGCATTATTTTGAATATAAAGGTACAAAGGTTCTTCCCAAATGCAGCCTTCGAAGGCAGGTTCTCAAACTTCAGAGCATCAGAATCCCTGCAGGGCCTGTGAAATGCAGTTTGTTAGGCCTTGCGCCGTGACTGTGACCCCACAGGTGTGCGTGGGGCTGGGCCTCCGAATCTGAAAGTATCTCAGGCAGTGCTGATGCCTGCACCTCATGAAACGCTGCTCTCAGAAATGGTCCTTGATCTGAGCTGCCTGTGGAAGCCGCCCAGCTAGTTTGCTGATGCCCCTCATGACATACAGCTGTCCCCTATCAGCTGCCCCAGAGACAGACTCAGAAGGCAGACACAAGGCTCAGCTGGGTTCTAAGAGACACACAAGCGGCTCGTGCAGGTAGCCAGAGTGAGGGGCCAGTGCCCCTTGATCAGTGATTCTCCCTCTTCCCATGTAGGGTACATTTGAGAATGTCGGGGGACATGCATGGCTGTCACAACTGGTGCAGTGGTAGAAGGGGAGGTTGTTACTGGCACCTAGAAGGTAAAGCCAAAGGCCTGCTAAGTAGCTATAGTGAAGAGCACAGGACCCCAAAATAAACTGTCCTTCTGTCAAGATTCAAAAACTCTGTCCATAGAGCATGATCTAGCAGAATCCAAGGCCCCATCCCAAGCCTGCTGAATTCAAATCTGCACCGTCACCAAGGTCCCCAGGTGATCCCACATTTGGGTAGCACTGCTGTAGATCAGTGGCTCCTTCCTTTAACACTCCCCACTTCCCAATGCCCAGGAGGATTCATCAAGCCAGGCCACACCCCAGAGTTTCCATTGAGTAGACCTCAGTGGGGCTAAGAATGCGCATTTTGCAAGGTTCCCAGAGCTTGCTGCTGACACTTCCTTGTTCTTCCCTGGACAGGCCAGGAGAACCACCTCAACAGAGCACCTGCTGACTAGGGAGTTGACGACAAAGGACCTCCATCTGTGGACCTCCATCTGTGGGCTAGAAGACACGAGTGCTTTCTGTAGGGCTGTCCCCACAAATGTGGCTAGAGTGCCTTCAACAGTGAAAATGGAAAGTGCCTTTGGCAAGCCCTTTGCAGGTGTGACAAGTCAGAGAATGTCCAAACCCTTGCTGTTGGAATCGGATGGGCCCTGTTCTGAGAAGTTATGTCGAGGAAAGTCACGCTGGTGAGGAAATGAAATCAACCACCCGTCACCTCTGTTGCTGAAGGCAGGCAGTGACAGGAAGCCCAAGCAAGTACACAACTGAGTTCCAGTCGAGTTCCGGTCAAGTTTAACTACGCCCATGTCTTGCCTCCCTGGGTGTACAGGCGACAGTCCCTATGTCAGAGAACCCACAAATGAACATCAAAAAACCCTGTCAAAATTTGTTGATTGATCACTATGCTGTTTGACACAAGAAATGGATTATTCCTTTCTTGCCTAAAGCCACATCATCTCATTCAAATTTGCAAGTGGTGGTGCAGCTGTCTCTGTAAAATCTGTCACACTGTTGGTGAGTTTGAATCCTCTCTCTGATTGCCTAATAAGCTCTAATTGCACGATTCCTGGGATCTTTATCTCAATCACAGTAGCAAGCAGGGAAGAGACAAAACTCAGGGGAAAGCCATTATCTGTGAATCTGCACTAGGACAGAGGCTGAGGTAGGGCCTGGCTGAGCTGAGAACTAGGGATAGAGAGAGTGACTGAAAGCAAGCGGCTGCCTTTGAAATCCCTCACAGGAACAACCCCCGCCCCTCCCAAAATATGCACCTCAAGGGAGCGGCGATATTTTCTTACCAACACAGGAGGCTGCTCGGCCACTCCAGGCCTTGTTGTCCATGCACATGACAGTGCGCTCCCCCTTCAGTGTGTACCCTGGGGAGCAGTAGTATTCACACTGGGAGTTGAAGTAGGCGCCGTCTACGCACTTGAACCCTCCGTTGGCTGGCATGGCCAGGGTAGGACATCGCTTTTCTGAAGAAGAGAATGCCAGATAGTCCACATTTCTGAGTTCCAGCCCACAGAGTTTCAGTGTCCAGAAATGCTGAAAGCACAGGCTGAATAGTTAATTTACATATGACAGAATTAGATAAACAATGGGTGGCTGCGCATCACACAGATGGGACGCTAAGCTTCATAGCAGACTGGCTTGGGATGAGGCGCTCAGAAGCTGACCCGGAGATCAAGATGTGTGTGCAGGGCTCTCCCTGGTGGCGCAATGGGTTAAAGCACCACATTATGAAGCTTTCCCAAGCCACTGCAGCATGAGTTTGATCCCCTGCTAGGGAGCTGACCCATATGGTGTGGCAGACCTCTCCTGACCCGCCCGCTGCTCCCCTCAGCAGTGTGTTTCAGTCCATCTGCCTGCTCTGCTCCCTACTCTGTCCCTGTTGAATCTTCTCACCCTCCGCATCTCTGGCCTGTACCCCAGTTCTGTAAGCATAAATAAATAAATCTTAAAAAAGAAAGACGTGTGTGCAAGTGATTCAGTAAGCAAGTGTCCATGGGAGACCTAGGAGAGGTGGCGGCCGGGGAGAAAGAGCAGCAGGTTGGTCTCAGGTCAAGTCAGTCTCCACCTGCTCCTGCAGGGGACCTCTGGGGCAGGAAGGTCGCCTGAGGTTATCCCGCCTCCAGCCAAGGAGAGGGGCCTTCCCACTGTTACCAGTCTGTAAAGATCTGCAGCTGTCCTTTACCCAAATAGAAGAGTCCTCTGAAGGGGCAGAGCCTCTTCTTCCTCTCAAGAAAATCCAAGGGGCAAATAATTAGGAGCAAAGCTCTCCAAAGCTGGGAGCTGAAGACAGAACTGGTAAACCAGGGAGATGGGGAGCAAGCAGTGACAATGGCCACTCGAGTCACCAGCTGCATAGTCTGGATCACAGGCCAGCACCTTCCAGTGTCGATTTCCCCAACAGTCAGTGAAAGTAATGGCACCCATCTTCATAGGGCTTGTAGAAACTGAGCTATGGGAAATGCTTCGCACCCAATTGGCATTGGTGACTATTTTGAGAAACAATAGCGTCTAAAATACCATTGGTAGTTTCCCAAATGAGACAGGACTTTTCATGGAGATCTGCTCTCTCTGAGGTTGTCCCTTCAGGCTCCTGATGGCAGAGCCCACGTATATTCTATTTGTTTCTAGATCCCCGACGCTTTTCAAGATTTGGTATGGTCTAAGCCAACATAACTTGTTTTCCTAATGAACCTCCGTTCTCTCCCCCTTTCCTGAATAGTTGATGACACTGTCAGAAAGGTGTCATCTCATTTCCAGCATCTTCGAAAGCCCACTGGCTTCTACTCACAAAGGGACCAGAATACATGCAGTCAAAAGTGCTGGTCTCAGAGCCAAAGAACCGAGGCTCTCACAGGCCCTCAGGCCCCAGCACGCAGCTGAGAGACTCGCGGCTACTCACGCTTGCAGACGACCTTGTCCGACCACCGTTTGTTTGACTGGCAGACCAGCTGCGACGAGCCTTGCAGCTCATAGCCTTTCCGGCAGCGAATGTCGCACCTGGTTCCCAGGGCTGTTTTGTAGTAGCCTCCTGGCGGGGCCCTGCAGTACACATCCCCGTACTTCACCTTGATGGGGGAGCACCAAGGGGTGTCTGCAGGTAGCAGAAACAAAAGATGGGAGAAACAGGAAGTAACAGCTTCAGAAACAAGGTCTTCTTACCCTACTCCCTGACTTGCTGCATTCCAGATTTTGGATCTCCACACAGGCACTCATGTCTTTTAAGGTGTCTGGATGGGAAGATTATAATGAAGGGACTACACGTTAGACACATCCTGAAGGTAGACCTGAGGTACTCTGCTCGTGGTTACTCTACTGCTCTGGGTTACTCACTCTACTGTGTGACCTTGGACATAGTACATAATCTCTCTGATTCAAGACCTACACCCATGTCTTAGGGCTCTTCTGAGGAAAATTATTTATTTCTAAATAAATAATGTCTAACAAACACCTAGCACAGTGCCCAGCACATAGGAAATGTTCAATAAATGCTTGACCATTTTTAGTATTTCTCTTAACTGACACATAATTCTTTGGGGTGGAGCGGGGGCGGGAGGGGGGAAGAACAGATATCATTATGAACTTTAACCTCAAGCCCAAGCCTGTATACACAGGAGGAGTGGGGAGTCAATCTCGGGTTAATTTGGATTTTAATCAAAGCTATATGTAAAATCTCTGAAAAAACCCGAATGAAAAAAGCTCGTAATATTCTTGTTTAATTAATGTGAATGAAGACACAATTTCCACATTTTTGCTACAGGATACTTGATCCCCATAGAGAAGCAACCTTCCTTTCCACATGGCCCCGGGTATGCCTCCTTTGGGTCAGAGAAGAACATCCTTTCGAAAGCGCAGCTTCTAGGTTACTTGGATTTTGATCTTGCAGTTGCCCCTAGCACAGCTCGGATAACAATGATACTAATAAATCAGAAAATCTTCCCTGTGCCTTTGGAGGGCACATCCACACCATTACAAGTGCAAGACCAGCTCATTGAGGGGCAAGTACCAGCTGGTCACGGCATCCTGGATGAGGAACACCGAGGAGCCGCTTATGCCTGCTGGACTCAAGGCCAGAACAGGAGTCACCGCCCTCCAGCTGAGGGCTCCTCACACCACCTCAGCACCTGAGCGAACGGTGAGTGGGATTCGTGCGCCATCATGTGGCCAGAAAGAGGACAGACCCTGTTTGACTTTCCTAGGAATTTTCTTCTCAGGACGTGCTTCTGTCTACTTCTTGGCCATTAACACCACCAGTCCTGTCCAAGACTTGTGCATATACATTTTTTTCTTACTTAAAGAGTCTCCTCTTATTAACATTTATCAGAAAGTATTCCACATTCAGCAGAAGGTGGGTACAACAGTCAGACTCAAACAATAGTCCCTGGACTATCCGTAAAAGTGATATCCTGGGGCTTAACCCAGCGCTAAGATTGGCGGGAGCTTCCAACACCGTTCTTCCTTCTTCCATGGTTTACACCGAGTGTCTCTACATGCCAGCTTTTTAGTGAGAAAAATCTGGACCCTAAAGTAGGATACAAAACAGCAGTCATGTGTCCATCGTTTTCTTCTAGGTATAAAAGAATACTTGAGCTAATTTTCAATGTTTTAGCTCTTTTCAGTGATGGTTCTAAGTAAGCCATCAAAGTAAAAGGTTTCCAGTTCACAGGTGAGAGGTTCTTGGGCTGTGTTTGCTTAGCACTGCCAAGATAGCTCTTGTGTAATGACATGTTCTTAAAAGGAATTCTGGAAAAAACCCATCAATGCTACCACTCGAAAAACAAACAGGGTTAAGAAACGTCTGAATTCTGTAACTCCTAGAAATGAGATAAACATTTCTCTTTGTGTTTTTTCTATTCTACCTGTAATAAGGAAGATTATCTACAAGGAAACCCCACAATGGACTTGGTGCTTTTAGTCTCAAGGAGCCACTTTTTGTAGTTTACACCCTAAACTTCCAGGGTATTAATCTCACAATATCATCTGTTGAGCTACCTCTTCATCATCTCCCCCGCTCACCCCCTCAACTTCCCCACTGTCTCATGCCATCGTTTCCCTGTCAGTGTTATTCCTCTTTTAGACCACAATGCATCTGTGCTTTGCCATCTCTAGCCTTCCTTTCCTCTTGCTTCTTTTCCACCATGTCACAGACCAGCTGTGGAATATTTGATGAAGAATTGAGTACACACCAGAGAGAGAGAATGAATGTCCTTTGGAAGTGGAGGAAAGGCCGTGAGGTAGGAAAGAAGGTAAGAAACTCAAGAGAAGATGATGAAAATGGAGTGAGCTGGTCTAGTGTGGTGGACACACACTGAGGAGAGTCAAGAGGCCTGGCATGCATGATCCTAACCCTGGACAATTCACTAACTTTCTTGGAGGACTAGATTCCACATCGATAAAATATAGAAGTGGATTCAACAATTTGCAAAGTCCCAACATACTGTGGATGATACAAATGACCTGTCATCTCCATACCCACCTTGTTACTTTTTTCTCTGATAACTTTGGCCAGTCTCTAATAACCTTCCAACTGAAGAGAAATCCTTTTTGCATTCTGGGTCCTGATCCCAATTTCACTAATGCACAAATTGGAATTGGATCAAGTCTCCCCCTGTTTTCACTCAAATGTTGAAACACATCTTCTAGCTTCTAGACATTGGCATGAATTTAGGAGGGACACAATTTTTCTTTTAAATTCTTGTAAAATTTAAAGTAACAGGAGGCAGTTTACCTGCATTTCTTAGCACACATTATGGGTTTTTTTGGTCCCCACAAATATACCCAAGGTAAATATTTAGGGTGAGTGGGAACATTCAGGAATGACCTGTGTACTCATATGTCACAAATTCCCATATATCAACAAACATGCGATCAGCAGAATTTGCCCTATATTCTGAGTCTTCAAATCACCCCCACAGTGCTGGCTGTGCACCCAAAAGCTGTGTTACTGTCAGTGTGTTGAGGGAAAATATTTTGTTTTCATTTATTCACAAAAGGAATTCCTTTGGGGCTACTTTCCAAGGCAAACTGGAAAGATATTTTAACAGTTTAAAGCCCTACAGTGTGAATAATTAAAATATCAGCAACTGACTTGAATTTGAATTACATTCAAACACCACAAATGAAAGAGGTTTAGCAAAACTTTTAATAGATGTTGGGAGAAAGGAAGCTCTTATGCTGCTTCGACCTGCTAAGACAGGATTTACTTAGGGAGAAATCTAAACGGATTATTCAGGAAAGCTTTAAATCCCCTAGGCCAACGTGGTAAACACTCCAGTTAACTGGAGTTCCTGGCGTGGGCTGAGTCGTGGAGCAGACTAATGAGGAACCTCTAGATATTGAATGAAACTAGTAACCTCTAGATATTGAATGAAAACAGCTGGGTTTCAGAACTAAAGTGTAATGTTTTCTATCTGTGTCACCCTGGGGAAGTTGCCTACCCTCTCTAATCTATGGTTCCTTACTGTAAATAAGGAATAACAACAGGATTATCTCAGTACCTCCCCTCTTTCCTTAATTAAAGATGTGACGGCATTCCAAGTAAAAGACTCAAAAGCAATGCATGCCGCATATTGGGCACATAATACATGTTGGTTAAATTTCAGTCTCATTTCTTTTACTTTAAGTCCAAAATACTGATTGAGGATATACTCTGTGCCAGACGCTCTCCAGAGGCATGATGCTCTAAATCTAAACCCTCAGTTAGCAATGGTCTGCCTCTTAAGTTTTAAAAATAAAAAGTAACCATAAAAATAATTTCCTAAGAAGTATAAATTCTTAAACATTTAGGACAGGCTCTAGGGCAGGCACACATTTTGGCCATCTGGTCTACCTTCCATGTTTGCCATGCCACGAGGTGGATACAGACACTGGGAACAGTAATCGGGCAGACAACTTCAAGTGTACACATAAAGAGCCACCTGTGCATGCATGCATTCTAGGACTTTTCACAGGGAAATAAAATTCAAACACTCAGGAAGTGATAGGAATGAGAATACACCCTTACCCCAAACATCAAATTAACAATTCTGTGTTTTGTTTGATTGGGTAACCCTTGAGGCAATGGACACAGGAACTATGGATAGGCACAAGTATTTGCACTCACAGGTCATAAGCAAATGTAGAATATGGTGAAAATCACACCTGGACACAGGTGCCAGTCATTATATTGGAAAGTCTGTTTGAGTGGAAAACTCATGAAGGACCCCCTGCAGCCAAAGACTGATGAGTACTACCCCCATTCTCCTATGACTTACACACATCCCAAAGAGCAGGGCAGTGCTCTATTGCTGGAACATGGACTTATTTCTGGGGCCAACTGTTATAATGGAGCTTTGCTACCCAATTGTCTTCAAACGATGCTTCCACTGTAAAAGGAATTCAATTCAGAGAGAAATAATAAATTAGCCCTTGCATTTCCCAGGGTTCCTGGAGCTTTAAAGAGTTGACTCACCAATAGAAATATGTGTGGACATACTTACCTGAGCCTGTAGAGGGTTCTTGATTAGTTTTTGTTTTATACCTGCTGGGGGCTGGGTTGCTGGTAATGTGTAGAGATGGAGTTCTGTATGATTACATTTTCATTACAAAACACACTTTACTCAACATTCCAGGAGCCAAGCTGAACTCAGAAAGAGCATAATGAAATAAGATTATGAAAATCAAGTTTTCTCATTCCACATTAATCTCAGTACATTAACAGCATTGGGTACTCCACGGGACCCTCACTGTAATGTATGAATCAGGCAGAATTCACAGCTTGATTTTCACTTTCATCAGCTAGAGCTTGGCTTTGCAGAAATGAGAACAGTGAAGAAACTTCTGAGAATAAAATGACCATGACAGTGCTGAAGGACAGCACTTCAGAGACTCAAAATGCTTTTTCTTGTCTTTCTTTTTTGTTTGTTTATTCTTAACTTTTCCCAATAGGAGCATATATGGATTCATTTTATTTTTTCTGGATGGGGAATTAGAAGCTAAATGTGTGATCTGGTCACTTTATTACAGTCTGCTCCAAGGACAAAAGGGAAAGTTCTCGTGGCATCAGCAGGTCCTCTTTAGCACATAAGCAAAGCATTCACCTTTATATCTAGTGTGTGAGTACCCGACTTCATCATCTTCTAGTGGAGAGTCTCCAGATCCTACAATAAAACAGAACAGAAACTGCAGCAAGAAAAGCCACATGATCTGAAATGTACATTTCAAAGCATTGCTTTGCCACAGTCCATGCAAGAGGGGCTATTAGAATGCAGAGCCAGAAGTGAAAGCTTCTGTGGCCATTCACGAAGGGAAAGGGGACTTCTCAGAGTGAACCTGGCTGGGCTGAGATTGCCAGAGCCAATTAAAATGTGTCTCACTGTTTGGGACTCGCTGCATGCCAACTGAAGTTCTGGACTGAAGATAGAGAGAGTCAACTTCACTCTGAGAAGATGCCAATATACATATGAATCTCAAGCCAGGGGAGATGCAGTAAAATGTGTGACTCAGACACGGCACGCAGTTTCTCTAGCCATCAAAGAAAACCCAATAAAACTGGGAGTTTATGGTACCTGGAAACTGGACCATCTTGTGAAATTAATGGGGGCTGAGGATAAGGAGGCAAAGCAAATGTCCTATCTTAATGAGCAAAGAAACGTGAAGCTGCTTTGGTATATTTGTAGGAAATGAGGGCCGAAATCGTAGAGCTGGATGATTCTTCAGAAACTTTCACCAAGGCACAAATACAGTAAAAGTGCTTCAAGAGTCTTGCTACCCTTGAAAATCACAGCCTCAGAAAGACCGTGTGGATACAATTTTAAACTCATTTGGAAATGAGAACGGAATCATTTTTAGAATAACAAATATTGATGTTCAGTGAGGTGGTAAATCCTTAATCTTTGAAATGGTAGCAGGTACCGCACATCAAAAGAGTCAACTTAAATTCAGAGATCTTTCTCTCTAGACTTCCTAGAGCCAATCAAAAGGAGTCTCAATCACTGACTGGAAAGTTAGCACCATCTTGGTCACACATTTACCTATAGGAACCTTCAACACAACAGAGAAGGCTATTCTCTGTTTTGAGGTGGCTCAAATCCTCATGCAGTGTCAAGAGAATGAGGAATCGTCTCTTCTTCACTTGTTCTCTGGATGTGAGAGAGGGTGAGTGGAGGGTGAGTGATAGTGGAGAGGCAATGGAGACTGGACTATGCCCAAATGGGAAGGGCCCCCCACCCCTCTAATAAAGCCCAGTTCCATCTTCTACTTTGTTCCAGGTTTCTTGATCCAATCTCTGGCCACCCAAGCATGAATGAAATTATACAAACTGTTCACTATTCCATGTCAAAAAGTGATCTGAAACCCAATATTATTTCTCAGGAAAACAATCGAACTACATGAGTCAAAAGTCTATCTTCAAATCCCTTGGTCTAGTCATTCCCCTTGAGGAAGTCAACCCCAAGAAAAGAACTACAGAAAAAAAAAAGTTACACACAAAGATTTATTTGCAATGTCACTGACAATAGAAGAAGACTAAACAGATCACAAAGTCAATATTCTGGTTAAATAAATCATAGGAAAATCATTGGATATAATAGAGCCATTAAATAATGTTTACAAAAAAGATAAAGTGGTGTGGGGAAAGCCTGTTTTAATATGAAGTAAAACAATTGATAGAACAAAATTATATAAATACTATAATTGATAACAATGCAAAATAATCAAATTCAAAATAAACAATACATAGAAAAGAGTCTATTGTCAGATGTTGTTTCTCCCTTTCTTCTACAATTTGGACTATGAAAAAGAATTACTTTCATAATAGAATAAAAAAATTGATTATGCATGCAACTCAAAGCTCAGTTTCCAAAATACATTTTGAATACATTAGAGATGTTTAAGACACTTCTATCTCTCCCTTCCCATCCTGCCCCCATTTCTCTCCATATTCAGAGTTGATTCCTCTGAGAACTGTTGGATTCTCTCAGATTTCTAAGCATCAAGGGATCTGTCTTATATCAAGAGCCCTCCCTTCTTCCCCCAAGTCATGGCCTCCATATAAGCATAATCCTTACAGGCGGGAGAGGATCCAGATTTCTCCTGGCTCAAAGTGAAGAAACCAACTGTCACAGGCTGCATTCTCTGGAAGCTAGCTTCTGAGATGGAGTCTAGGGTCAATACCCCTAAACAGGATGTTGGGGGTCAACACCCGTGAAAGGAGTAATAAGAAGGAAACACAAGTTTGAATGGAGGGAAGTCAGCTTCAATGACAGCCCAAGGGCAGCCTCTTGTGTTGTATTGAAATGGTTGTGCTGGTCTACCCTGCCTCTATCAGTCATTGCATATAGTCCATCATGGAAAGAACATGAACTTGAGCAAAGCACTCTCAAGGGCTGAGGCCCTTCCCCTCAACCCCCCCAAGAGACTGGAAGCTGATGGCTGCTTGAAAACATTGCCCCCAGTTGAGACAACCAGACATTCCTTGCAGAAAGATCTGGTCTATGCCTCTCTGTGACCATCATAACAATACTCATTCATTGAGAAATGACTTGAGATGTATAAACTCACTGGATGCCAGTGGGGGGGGGGAGTTGGGGGGATGCGCCATCAAAAAGGGCAGAGACAGACACCTACTGGAGAGACAGATACACCTGCAGGCCACAGCCCCATTTTACCAGTACATGTGCACTCTAAGACGTCATCCCATATTGTGTATTATAGTGAAAAATTAAACGTCTTCCTATAGGGGAATAAGCAAAAATTTTACCTTATATCAATAGACTACTGTGTAGTCACTAATCAATATTGGAATGGGGAAATATGTATTAGGTACTGTTAAGCAAAACAGCAGCTACTAGAAAACTATGTATAGGATCAAACATGAAACATAATGTTTGTGCATACACACATATACATAATATTGTAATGAACATGTGTCAAATTTGGGATAAGATAAAGTGAGAGCGGGCCCTCCCTGGTGGCACAGCGGGTTAAAGCACATGGTGCGGCAGAACTCTCCTGACCTGCCCGCTGCTCCTCTCAGCAGTGTACTTCATCGATCTGCCTGTTGCTCCCCACTCTGTATCTGGTGAAACCTCTCACCGCCCCTGCACGTCTGACCTGTACCCCAGTTCTGTATGCACAAATAAATATTTTTTTTAAAAAATAAAAGATATAGGTATCTACCCAAAAGACACAAAAACACTGATTGAAAAAGATAC